ATAGCTTGACACAGCTCCCCCTTGCTTAGATGCAGTGTGAGGATTCCTGCTATGGGACTTTTGGGCTCTGTCCTTCAGTTCTTTACCCTTACTAATCTGGAAACTGGAGATAACTTTACCAACCCCGTGTTGCCATAAGGATGACGTAAATGCTGACAAGTAATTGTTGTTTTGTTGTTATGAAAATCACGTTCGTGCTCCATAGTCTGCTGTTCAAGGTCCTCCATCACTTTGTTACTCCGTGTGCTCCCCTGCCAGCAGCCTCCCCTTGTCTGGTGCTTGTTAGTGATGCAGATGCTGCACTGTAATTAGATCCTCAGGTGATTGGTATGTGAGGGTCTGGTTCCTCACCTGCTTCTTAACTGCAGTCCAGCTTTCTCCTGGTGCAGAAAGGAGACAGGCCTTGGAGACAGACAACGTGGTTTCAAATCCCAGCTCCTGGAATTTGGTTTCAAATCCCAGCTTTGGGTGGGCGTGGATGTTTACAGACCCTGTCTCTGCTTTGTTTCCATCTGAAAAATGGGGACAGTCATAGCGCTTACCTCACAGGGGTTTTTCGAGGATTAATTGAGACATTGTGTAAATAATGGAGTCTCTACCCTTGTGATTTTAAATTGGATTTCATATTTGAAACTAAGTACCTTTTTGTGTGCTTGGTTCATGGTACTTTTTTTTAAATTGAGGTATTGTTAATTTACAATGTTGTGTGGTTTCAGGTGTACAGTAGAGTGATTTAGTTATACATGTATATATATTCTTTTTCAGATTCTTCTTCATTTTAGGTTATTATAAGATATTAAGTATAGTTCCCTGTGCTATACAGTAGGTCCTTGTTGTTTACCTACTTTATATATAGTAGTGTGTATATGTTAATCCCAGACTCCTCATTTATCTCCCCTGACCATCTCCTTTGGTAACCATAAGTTTGTTTTCTATGTTGTTTTATTTTGGTTTTGAGTCAAGGTTTCCTTACGTGGCACTGGGGGGGAAATGGCGGTGGTGTTTCTTAACCCCTCGGCCTCTGTACTGTCTCATGCTGATCATGGAACAGGGTCCTGCTGGTTTTCCTCAGGCAGGATGTGACCAGCAAAGATATGATGGTGAGACTCCTTTTCCCGTGGAGGGTCAATCAGCTGCTTCTTCAGGGGAAGGTGGAGAGAATCCTTTCAGGTCTCAGCAGTGGCCAGGAACCAGAAAGGGTCTGTATGTCTATCCCTTTGTGACACTTCACCCCATTATGGCTGGGAGAGAGAGCCTGTTCCTTGCCGCTCCAGCTGCTTCAAGCCTACTTAACCCCATAAAGAGGAGTTCTTCTCAGTCAGTTTTAAAAAAACCTTTTCAAACTTACAGAAAGTTTGCAAGAATAAGAATACTAATGGGCTTCCCTGGTGGCGCAGTGGTTGAGAGTCCGCCTGCCGATGCAGGGGACACGGGTTCGCGCCCCGGTCCGGGAAGATCCCACATGCCACGGAGCAGCTGGGCCCGTGAGCCATGGCCCTGAACCTGCGCGTCCGGAGCCTGTGCTCCGCAACGGGAGAGGCCACAACAGTGAGAGGCCCGCGTACCGCAAAAAAAAAAAAAAAAAGACGACAGCTCCATATTCTACCCAGATCATTCACCCACTGCTCACATTGTACCCCATCTGCTCTATCATTCTCACACGCATAGTAGTTTATTTTCTGAACCATTAGAGAGAAAGTTGCGTACATCATAGCACTTTGCCCCCAAATCCTTCCATTTGTACTTTCTAGGGAGAGGGATATTCTCTTACATAACCACAGTACAGTTGTAACTTCAGTAAATTCAATATTGATACAATACTTCTATCTCATCTGCCATTGTATTCCAGTTTTTTTAAACTGACCCAGTAATGTCCTTTATAGAATTTCTTTTTTCTCTTTGGTTCAGGACCCAGTCTAGGATTAGGTATCATTTCTAGTTGTTATGTCTTTTTAGTCTCCTTCAATGTGGATCATTTTCACAGCTTTTTATGACATCAACATTTTTGAACAATGCAGCCTCTGCCTCTTTAAAAAAAAAAAAAAAGAACCTTTCTCATTTTGGATTTGTGTGATGTTTCCTCATAATCAGATCCAGGTTCTGCATTCTTAGCGTGAATACCTCGTAAGTATTCAGGGTATCACATTTGAAGATTCATGTCCACCTGCCTCTCGAGTGACAGCAATGTTGATCATCCAGTAAAGGTAGTGTTCAGTTTCTCCCCCGTGTTGTTACTGTATTTTCCATTCCAACACCTAATTAATCTGTGGGGAGGCCCCAAAAGACCACGTATATATCCCACTTATAAAACTTTCTTCCTGATTCTTGCCTGAGTCTCTATGGTGACGGTGGATGCAGTGTTTTTCTCTAAGAGGCTTCCTTCTTCCTCTTTATTGATCTACTTATTATTTGTATGGCATGTTAGTCTGGGTTCTTCAGAGAAATAGACCAGTAGGATATCTATATCTATATATCTGCATCTATGTCTATAAATAAGAGATTTACTGTAAAGAATTGCCTCACAATTATGAAGCAGAGGAGTCTCAAGTAGTCACAGCTGGAAACCCAGGAAGGTTGATGATATACAGTAATTCCCCCTTATCTGTGGTTTCACTTTCTGTGCTTTCAGTTACCCGCAATTCTAAAACATTAAATGAAAAATTCCAGAAATAAACAGTTCATAAGCTTTAAATTGTTCACCGGTCTGAGTAGTGTGGTAAAAACTCGTGCTGTCTCACTCCTCCCCGCCTTTGACGTGAATCAGCCTTTTGTTCAGTGTATCCTGCCCGCTAGTCACTTGGTAGCCAGCTCAGTTATCAGATTGACTGTCACGGTATCACAGAGCTTGTGTTCAAGTAACCCTTGTTTTACTTAATAAAGGCCCCAAAGCACAAAGAGTAGTGATGCTGGCAATTTGGGTATGCCAGAGAGAAGCCTTTAAGTGCTTCCTTTAAGTGAAAAGATGAAAGTTCTCAACTAATTAAGGAAAGAAAAATATTGTATGCTGAGGATGACAAGATCGACGGTAAGAATGAATCTTCTATTTGTGAAATTGTGAAGAAGGAAAAAGAAATTCGTGCTAGTTTTGCTGTTGCATCTCAGACTGCGAAAGTTAACAGCCACAGTGCATGATAAATCCTTAGTTAAGGTGGAAAAGGCATTAAATTTGTATAATAAGGTATTTTGAGGAAGAGAGACCACGTTCACATAACTTTTATTAGTATATTTTTGTAATCATTCTATTATTAATTATTGTTAATCTCTTCCTGTGCCTAATTTATAAATTAAACTCTATCATAGGTATGTATGTATAGGAAAATTTCTCATGGTTTCTGCCCCCATTGGGGGTCTTGAAACGTATTCTTTACTAATAAGGGGGGCACTCCTCTACTTCTAGTTTGAGTCTGAAGGCCTGAGAATCGGGAAAGATGACGGTGTAAATTTCATTACAAGTCCAAGTCCAGACACAGAAGACTGATATCTCAGCTCGAAGACAGTCAGGCAGAGAGAGTGACTCTTCTGTTCAAGCCTTCAACAGATTGGATGAAGCACATCCACTTTGGGGAGGGCAGTCTGCTTTACTCAGTTTACCGATTAAAGTGTTAATCTTGTCCACAAACACCTTCACGGACGCAACTACAATAATGTTTAATCAAATATCTGGGTACCTCGTGATCCAGTCAAATTGACACATGCAGTTAACCATCGGATATGGACTCTTGGACTCCTATTTTTAATGGTTTATAATCCACTGCTATCCTTAATTATGATGGTGATCAAATTGTCCTGTATTTGGCCAGCTGGCTGCTGTGTCATTATGACACGTTCACAGGATCTGATATCTGTGGCCTGGCACTCCTGTTGGGCAATTGCATCGTCTGTCTGTGTGCCCTGCAAGCTCCCTCCAAGTAAATTTTTGTGTGTTATATAGCTTTTCTGTAGACTATCTCTTGAACTCTTTCAAAATTAGGGAGAACCTGCCTAGACATATTTGAATGATGTGTTAACGGGCAGGTAGAAACTTAATATTGTTTGTAGTCATTAGTACTTAACTCCGTTTCCATTTGCACTAACAGGAGTCATCCAGTGGGTTATCGCTCTGTGGTGTATACTTTACTGGCTGGAAATATTAACTTCTGAGCTGCCCATGGGTGCCCTCTGCTGGCACTGCAGTGCATACACACTTTTCTGGGATTTCTCCTCTGCCCACTTACTCTTTTGGTTGATTGGTCTCTCCAATTATCACGCAATTATGGATCATGCAGTGCAGACAGTTTTGGAACCTGCTTTGTTTACTGATATCAAGAATATCTTTCCCTGTAAATATATACATTTCTACGTCATCATGTTTATGTTGGCATAGTTTTCTATTACGTGAATGTTCTATTTAGCATTTAAATAATCCACTTTTAGGAAGCATTTGTATTCTTTATTTTTTCTATTTTATATAGCACTAAAGTGGACATTCCTTGTATACAAACCATTCATATGTGACTTATTAAGTTGAACTTGATAAGTGGATAGGAATTTGACAGGTAAAAATATAGGGAAAAGAGACTAGTTCGAGAAAATTGCATAGGCCAAGTTTAGGATGTATTCAAGCAATAGGAAAATCAGGTTTGGCTGAAACGTGGTGGGGTAATAGTGCGAGATGGTTGGAAAGTAGGTATTGTAGGATTCTTTCTATTGAACTGATAGACTCCAACTCCAACCGTAAGTGAAGCAGAATCGAAATTTCTCTGTTTAATAACCGGGAACCCCAGGGCAGCTGGATCTAGGGACTCAGATGCTCTTGCTCTGTCCCTTTGCTGTCACCGATTGTCCCTCTGTCCCTTCCCAGGTTCTCTTGCCTGTTGGCATGGGGACAGAAAGAGCTCTCAGCTCCCCCAGCTGGACATATGGGAAGAGTCACTTTCTCCCATTACTCATTGAGTAAACATCAGGGAAGGTCTGTAGTTGGTGCTTTTGGGGGTCAGATGTCTACCCTTAGACTAGTCCCTGTGAGCACGGGGATGGGGTGTCTGCATGGGCCAGATCTGAAGCGCTAGCCCACACCTGTGCCCAGGGGCAGAGGCCGGAACCACGGAAGACTCTCCCCCAGGAACCCTGTGGAGAAGGTGAAGCGGGATTCTTCAAGGAAAAGAGGGTGCTGAAGAGACAAACAGGAGATGTCTGCACATATGGGCGCTGGTCCATACTGGAACGCTTCAGGTAGGTCTGCAGTCGGTGCAGTCAGTGACGAACGAAAAGAGGGAAAGGATGAAAAAGCCATATTATGTGTACACGTTGGATGAAGAGCTCTTGCTGGTGCTTCAGTATAGAGGTGGAAAACGTGGAGGTGATTCCTCTTGCCTGGACTGTGGCAGTAGACTCTGAGTCCCCCGTCTTTTTTTTTTTAATAATTAATTAATTAATTTTTGGCTGCATTGGGTCTCCGTTGCTGTGCACGGGCGTCTCATTGTGGTGGCCTCTCCTGCCGCGGAGCACAGGCTCTAGGTGCACGCGCTCCAGCAGTTGTGGCACATGGGCCCAACTGCTCCACGGCGTGTGGGATCCTCCCGGTGAGTCCCCCTCTTTTAGCCTCTTTCTGTCTACAGTGCATCCTATACACTGTTTCCAGAGTCATCTTTATAAAACATTTCATCCTGTTTCCCCCTGGCTCAAACACCTTCTGTGGCTTTTTTTGCACATTATATTAAGTATAAAAATTTGTCACTCAAGGTCTTTAATGGTCTGTCCCTAAGCTACACTTCCATTTTTTATATCTTACAGCCCCCTTCTACTTAGTTTCTGAATCTTGAGCCTACTGAATTTTTTTGCCATTCCATTAACATATCCCATGCTTTTCCCACCCCTGGTTCGCTGTTCTTATTTTCCTCACGTGCTAGAATGTATTGACTGCGACCTGACTGGAGAACTACAGCTGGTTCAAAGAGACAGATTTTACATAACGGTCCTAAGATTATACCTAAGCAAGTAGAGTAAAAATTTGAGACATCATTTAAATTCTGAATGCTCCTGTTTATAAATAAGGCATGCAGTGTCTGCATAAGCTGTTATTTCCTTTCTTCACTCCACGTGGATTAGAGCGAGGACAGCAGTCCAGAATGCAGCCCCTGCCCTAGAGGGAAGGCTGTCCGGGCCCAGAGGGACTGGCAGGTGGACACATCACATCCTGTGTGCTGCTGGCGGAAGGGAGAGCTGGAGAAGGCAGGGCTTCCGAGAAGAGATGGCGTTTCTGCCTGAGTCTTGAAAGACGAATGAGCTTAGCAGGCAGAAAAAAGGCAGCATTTCAGGCAGAGGGTGTAGCATGGGGGTCCACACCAAAGATCAAGGACATGGGAATTTTGAGGGTTCTGAGGAGCTTGGAGGTGGCTGCGGCTTGCTCTGTTACCTGTGTCGGTGCTAATATCTTTTATCTTAGTTCCGGCTGCTGTAATAAGTTACCACAGAATTGGGAGGCTTATAACAACAGACATTTGTTTCTCACAGTTCTGGAGGCTGGGAAGTTCAAGGTTGGTTGATTTGATCCTGGTGAGAGCCCTTTTCCTGTTGGCAGATGGCTCTCGTCTTGCGTCCTCGTGTGGTGGAGAGAGAGCTCGAGTTAGCTCTCCTTCTTTTTTTGGGAAGACACTAATCCCATCAGGGGCCCAATCCTCTTGGCCTCATCCAAACCTAATCATCTCCTAATACCATCATATTGGGGGTTAGGGATTCAACATATGCACTGTGAAGAGACACAAACGATCAGCCTGTAACACTTTCTAACACTTGTGGCTCAAGGAGGAAGCATGAGAATGGAGAAATGTTTTTTTCCACCAGTGATTTGGTGACCACGTGTAGAGTGTTGAAAGGGTCAGGGGCCCCATTAACCACATCTAGTCCAAGAACGTAACTGTGATGCCTGCCCTATCTTGGTAAGAGATACTATGGATTTCAAGAAACCAGCCAACTCATTTTTTCCAATAATAAGAAACCATTTATTCTATTTCTAAATATAGAATAAACAGCATTTATAGTTGCCCAAATTTTGGTATCTCTTAGGAGAAAAACACAGGTTGATTTTTTGTTGTTGTTGTTACAACTAAACTTTTTAAAAACTTAGACTTGCCAAAAATAGAGTACAACATGAGACTAACAGAAAAAAAAAATAGAAGATAACTCTTAAGATGAATATAGACTGTCTTGGTGCATATATATTTTATACACTAGCCACAGATTGTTTTTTTCATGCTTAAAATATTTTGTTTCATATTTGCTTCCAATCCAGGGACAGTATATTGAGTTCCCATTTTATCAGGTGGACTTGAAAAGGTAGAACACGGCCTTTTTTTTGTTATGCAGTAACAGACCATCTCCCGCCTACGAGAGGGGTTGCTTTTATTTTCACCTTTTTAATATGAGCTGAGCCACGTGGGTGAAAGCAGCAGGAACCGTAAATGCTGTCACTCTGGCAAAGGCCAGGGTTAGCTCAGAAAGGGTGTGTGAAGAGGCTGGGAAGTGGATCTGGTGACTTAGAAGTTTTGTTTTATAAGCCAACCAGGACGGTTGCTGTGCAGGTCGTGTTCGCACCCAGGCTACTGCCACCCCTGCAGGCCTGACCTTGGTTAGCAAGGAAGGGGCAGGGGGATCTGGGCGCTTCACCTGCAGGGCTTTTCTTCTCTTGAAACGGAAACACCATCTTTGCAGAAAAGGGAAGGGAAGGGAAGGAAAAGAAAAGAGAGGAAGACAAGTCAGGCTGACATTTTTGTTACACTAAAGCCAGACGTTGCTTTAGATAAAGTCATCTTGGAAATGGAGGTTTATTTCTCTACCAAGCCACACACAGAAAGCCGGTCGCTTAACCAGGAAGCTTGGCTCTCGGGACTCCACTCTAATCCAGGGTGGAAAAAAAGTAGCCCCCAGATGGCATTTGTGGGAGATTACTGGCTGGTAATCCTTCCTTGTCCTAGAAGATTAAGTCTGCCCTGGTGTAGTTGTGGTCAGCTGAGTGAGTGATTTAAAAAAATAATAAATTGTGGTTTCTTGTCAATCTGCCAGTGTCTGACATTTGCTTGAACTGTTTGTACATCGGGGCCATGTTGCGGCACCAGGTCCTCCTTTGTTTATTGAAGAAAACTCCAGCAAGCTTGGTTTCCTGTCCAGGTTGTTGGTTGTTGGCTGAAATGAACAGCAGGTGGTGACTAGAGCCTTTCCTCAGGTTGCTGGGGAGAAGTCATTTATTAAACAGCCCTCTTGTCCCAAGGGCGTGACGGCTGCACCTGGGCCAGGAAGCCAAGCTCTCAGAAACCTGGGCTTGATTTTTTTCGCGAGGTTGCCCAGTGCAGTGATCCGAGGGAATACGGGCAGAGCAGCGCTCAACCAAGGAAGAGCAGGCGGTGATAGAACTATGCGTTCTGCACTCATCTGGAATGGACGGTAGAGAGATGGATTTTTACGAGGACTACCAGTCCCCCTTTGATTTTAACACAGGAGTGAACAGAAACTATCTCTACCTGTCTCCTAGTGGAAATACATCCCCACCAGGATCACCTACTCTTCAGAAGTTTGGTAACTACTAGTTTTCTAAAGTTAAGTTTGCTGTAATGAAACCTGTACACAACTTGGGATTTGCCGGGCCTTAAAATTCTTAGTGTAAAAAGGTACCGGGATATTGCTCTGTTGCCACTGGTTCGTGAAGCTGCTACAGATTCCAAGCAGAGAGCTAGATGGCTCATTAAATATTTAGAATATATGTTATATATTTAAATATATATAAATAAATGGGAACTTAGATTTTATTTTATTTATTTTTTAATCTTGTATTGGAGTGTAGTTGATTTACAGTGTTGTGTTAGTTTCAGGTGTACCGCAGAGGAATTCAGTTATACATATACATATATCTATTCTTTTGCGGATTCTTTTCCCATACAGGATATTACAGAATATTGAGTAGATTTTAAAGGTAGAACTATTTGTATGGGCATTAGAGGTCTTCTGATCACCTTGAGTTCATTGAGCTGATAAATAACAAAAATGGGGGAATCCGAACGCTTCTGGTCACCTATGTAATTTATGAAGATCCCCCCCTCCCCCCAATCTTGTCTTTGCGAAAATGAGGCTTAAGCATCTGAAACACTGACTAAATTCAAGGTTCTGCTAAGGGAGGGCCTGGATTTTGTTCTGGAATACTGTGAGCAACATGCAGAGATATCCAGGTGAGAGATTTTGAGAGAAAAACTCAAAGCTGCTAGACCTTTGGAAGCAGTCATTGCTTCCCAGGTGCTGCTCTAAGATTGCTCTGCAGGCCCGGAGCAACCATCAAGGAAGGGCTCAGTTTATTGGTACCGGCAGCACGGAGCTGGAAGCAGCCTCGGCCACGTCCAGGCCAATCCCCTCACTTTACAGCTAACGCTTGGAGACGGTTAAACGACCTCTGTGACTTGCCAGAGAGGTAAGCAGATTTTCCTAGAAGTTAATGTTTCCCTTACTAACGAAGAGTAGGTCACATTTCTCTCTTCTTACGCTTAAAAAGTGGGTAAATTAGGAAAAAGATGGTAAAGGCCACAACACGAAACCTAGTTGTAAGTATTTTAGAGAGCACGCTAAAGCAGCATGCCTCTCGCCATTGGTCACGATCCGTGGCCACCTGTGGGGGTGTAGTTTGGATTTCCAGGAATGGAAAATTGTTGACAGTAACAGGGTAGAGCTGATCTCCAGCAGTTGGGGACTGGCAGGCAGCAGCTGGGTGCCTGCCCCCAAAGGATGACCTCCTCCATCCTCACCTCTCAGTCCTATGTGTAGGAAATGCTTCAAGAGCAACACACAGTAGGAAGTTAGAGCTCAATGACAGAGTGAAGCCTAAGTGACATTGGCCGTGGGAGCTGGGACTGTAGTGACCTGACCTCAGGTAGATCTTGGTGATCAGTGTGCAAGGCTTCGAGATTCCCAGGAGGATTCTGCCACTCGTTTGAGGTACTGCTCAGTCTTTTTATGTCTCTGTTCCACCTCCTTTTACTTTTCCCAGCTGTAGTAATTGCTGCCTTTGGATGTTTTCTGTTAAAACAGAAGCGGTGGGTAGGGTTGAGTGTGTCTCTAGGCAAATTTTGAACAATTACCTCCCCAATTCCTACTAGCAATCTGTAAGAGTCTGGGCTCGTGGGATTCGACACAGAATGATTAAAAAAAAAAAAAAGCAGTGAACAACAAAAACTGAAAACAAACTCGTGTAC